TATTAGACATTAAATTACATCACTTACCATCTTCCATAATTAATTTATCTATACTTTTCAGTTAGCCGAATGTAGATTTATAAGCGTTCTTAAATAAAAAAAATAATAAAATTTTTGACATTTTTTTCCCTTGTTTATAAATACCTCTTGCAAAATAAAATCCTTAAATTTGCCTTGAGAAAGTCCATCAGAGGGCGAAACGTCTCAGCTAATTTACGTTTTCCTTTTGTCTTTATTCATTTCATGCATTTTAATATATATATATATATATATATATATATATATATATATATATATATATATAATAAATTAATTGATTTAAAATATATTTTTTGCTACACAGTTATAACCATGTTTCAAAAAATGGAAGCTAAAAGCTCAATTTAATTTTGTAATTTAGCTTCCATTTTTGAAACATATAGAAATGTGTAGCGAAAAAAAAAACATATTTTAAATAAATTAATTTATAATATTAATAACTCTATAAATTTCCATTGAGCAAAATTTTGTAAAAATAAAAAAATATCTATAAGAACACCGGATTATATATCTTACTGTTCTTTATATATATATATATATATATATATATATATATATATATATATATATATATATAGTTTCTATGTTGAGACAAAATTATACAAAATTCGTTATCCTACCCTCCAACACTTCAAATAAACTCACAAATGAATTATTTATGCCTAATATGAGGATTGTTACAACCACCTCCAAATTATCATATAAAATGTCGACAGTGCAATAACATGTACATTGGGGAGACATCATCTGATGTAAAGAGCCGCATCCAGGAAAACAAAAGAGATTTGCGTTTAGATAAACATTCAAATTCTCTCGTATTATACTGCAGCAACGTATGACATAACTTTAATTTCACCAATGCGAGCCTTATCAAAAAAACAGCATAACTCTTTAAAGAGAAAATATTATAAAAATACAGCAACATTACCAACTATTAACACACGTTTAAATACTACATTACATAACCATTTTTCTACACATCCATTATTCCTGAATCTAACTTATCTCTTCTAAATACATAGAAATAAATATATATATACAAAATACGCGGGGTATACTTTAATGAAAATATTTTCAAAGCATCCTGCAGCGTCTCAATAAACTTAACACACTTTAACATCCAAAATGTTTTCTTACGCTTATCTGAATATTATCTGTTACTTCATTAAACGGGATACGTATCCAATTAAAACATGGCACTGCAACTTACTTAATGTTGCACACTTTAGCGTTTAGAATGTTTGCAACACATATTTGAATATTATCTGTTACTTCATTACACATGTCACGTATCTAACCAATAAGGATTAGCAAAGGACAACATACCATTAATCTGTGTCTGTGCCTTTTTATCATTTTTATCTTTTCTATCTTGATCTCTGACTAAGCTTTAATAAAATAAGACATGTTAGATTAAGATCTATTTCTTACTTGTTCTCTATCTTATCATGTCTTTCTCTTCCTGTATATATATATATATATATATATATATATATATATAATTATTCATTTAAAAATATGATTCCAACGCTACATAAGAGTTCTCATGTTTCAATATTTTGGCAATTGAAGGAAATGAATAAAACACCAAAAGTGAAATGGAAAGTTATAATCAAAACTAGAACTTGTAAAACTTGAGATGACCCATCTCCTTTATGCCTACATGAAAAACTACACATTATCAAGTTTCTAAATAATGAAAATTTATTAAACATTAGACTTGAGTTAACGGTTTTTTGCCGACATCATCAGATTTTCACATTGAATATTTAGCATAAAAACAAACAAACAATAAAATAATTTTTAAATTCCATAGTCTAAATAAATAGTTTAAATGCCCTACAAAAAAAAATAAATAAAAATAAAGATAACCTTTTATGAAGTCGTCAAAAAAATAAAATGTTAATATGAACATGTAATATGATATCTTAAAGGATGAACCCAAGCTAACATTTTATTGTTTGCTTTTACTGGTTCTACTTCACGGTATTCATTTTAACTGTCGGCAGACTTACTGATATAGTTTCAAAATAAATATTTGAAAAAAAAAAGATGACAAGAACTATCTAATTAGATGTGTTCAAACCTTTCCTATATACTGTATTTGCCTGGCTACAAAACGCTTGATTTACACTGGCATATGAGGGACTACCATTCATTGGAACACATCCAATCCCTATAGCTGCAATTTTTCGAACTCTTCCGAATTGCAATGCATTAGTAATTATGTAATATTTGCATTTTTATTTCTTTAAATATTGTTTTTTTTTTGGTTTTTTTGTTTTTTTTTTTACGTCGGAAAATAAGATACACACATAATTCAGCTGAACCAATTACTTTGCCGAACAACGCCTGGAATTCTACGTATGCGTACATGTCAATACGTGGTACTTTCTCTACGTGTTACAAGGTGTTTTTGTTGGGGATCGAATGCTCTCCCTGTTAGCTAGGAGTTCCTACGCTTCAGGCGTTTGGTGATACCGAAAAGGATGTTTATCATCTCAGTTTGGCGATCTTCGCAAGAGATTCTAATCTCACAAAATAATCTTTCGTTCGCTATTCCAGCGCTCCATTTGTGTGTGTGTGTTTTTTTTCCTTCCTTCCTTCCTTCCTTCCTTCCTTCCTTCCTTCCCTTTCCCTCGGCTTCACACCGTCGATCTATCGGTATTAGCATCTACCTTTACGTATCTAACCAACTAACTATCCATTTCGTCAACCACTTTCGGAGATGCCTTTCTCTAGTGCAAACCCTTGCTTTTATCTTTATTGCATCTTGCCAAAAGGGCAAATGTCGCATCCTTATGGTCGAGAAGGCATCTAGGAGAAAGATAAGATCTTATATTCGTGAGAATTACACATTATGTCTCTTTATTTTATACCCGCGCCCCATCTCTCGTCATATTTTCCGTTCGAGCCACTGTTTTTCTCCTTTCTTCCTTTTGTAAATTTACACTTTTCTATTCTATTGGCATTTTTTTTTTTTTTTTGCATATGGAGACGTATAACGGATTGGGACTTAGAAATCCTTCCGCGGCAATAAAAGATTCCTGAGCTTCCACTTGAGTGCATTTTGCTTTCTGACTTTTGAAGGATTTCTTCTTCGTTTGCGTCTTTCTTTTATGAAAAAAAAATCATTCTTTTCTGTCGTTCTTTTCCTACTAAATCAATCGATTTCTTATTGCGTCTCTGGTATATTTTCTTTTCCCTTTTATTTTTATTACTCTCGTTTCATTTTTATTTTTTCTCTTCGCTCAGCTTTGTTGTTCTCGTTATTTTTTATCGTCTTTTTTTTCTTTCCTTTTTTTTTTTCAGTGTATTTGTACTTTTTATACATTTCAGTATTTTTTTTTCATTCGTATTCTTGCGTTTTTTATTTCCTTGAAACAGTGAAAAAAAATCCGGAAAAAATAAATCGACGTTAAATAGAGACACTGAGGTGAAAGAAAGAAAGAAAGAAAGAAGGAAAGAAAGAAAGAAAGAAAGAATACAAACTGAGATGGAATAAAAGAAAGAAAGAAAAGAAAGAAAGAAAGAAAGAAAGAAAGAAAGAATACAAACTGAGATGGATTAAAAGAAAGAAAGAAAGAAAGAATACAAACTGAGATGGATTAAAAGAAAGAAAGAAAGAAAGAAAGCAAGAAAAGCAAATAAGTAATAGATGGAATTTTGAGCAAAGAAAGAAAGAAAGAAAGAAAGAAAGAAAGAAAGAAAGAAAGCAAGAAAAGGAAATAAGTAATAGAGGGAATTTTGAGAAAAGAAAGAAAAAAGAAAGAAAGAAAGAACGAAAAGAAAAGCAAATAAGTAATATATGAATTTGAGCAAAAAAGAAAGAAAGAAAGAAAGAAAGAAAGAAAGAAAAAAAGGAAATAAGTAATAGAGGGAATTTGAGCAAAGAAAGAAAGAAAGAAAGAAAGAAAGAAAGAAAGAAAGAAAGAAAGAAAAGGAAATAAGTAATAGAGGTAATTTTGAGCAAAGAAAGAAAGAAAGAAAGAAAGAAAGAAAGAAAGAAAGAAAGAAAAGGAAATAAGTAATAGAGGGAATTTTGAGCAAAGAAAGAAAGAAAGAAAGAAAGAAAGAAAGAAAGAAAGAAAGAAGAAAGAAAAGCAAATAAGTAATATATGGAATTTTGAGCAAAGAAAGAAAGAAAGAAAGAAAGAAAGAAAGAAAAGAAAGAAAAGAAAAGGAAATAAGTAATAGAGGGAATTTTTGAGCAAAGAAAGAAAGAAAGAAAGAAAGAAAGAAAGAAAGAAAGAAAGAAAGAAAGAAAGAAAGAAAAAGAAAATAAGTAATAGAGGGAATTTGAGCAAAGAAAGAAAAAAAAAGAAAGAAAAGAAAGAAAGAAAGAAAGAAAGAAAAAGAAAGAACGAAAAAGAAAAGCAAATAAGTAATATATGGAATTTTGAGCAAAGAAAGAAAGAAAGAAAGAAAGAAAGAAAGAAAATCAAATAAGTAATAGAGGGAATTTTGAGCAAATAAAGAAAGAAAGAAAGAATACAAACTGAGATGGATTAAAAGAAAGAAAGAAAGAAAGAAAGAAAGAAAGAAAGAAAGAAAGAAAGAATACAAACTATGGTGGAAAAAGAATACAAATTGAGATGATAGAAAAGAAAGAAACAAACAAATTAAGATGAGTGAAAAGAAAGAAAGAAAGAAAGAAAGAAAGAAAGAATATAAACTGAGAGAAGAAAGACAGAACAGAAGAAAGTAGAAAGACGGATTAAGTTGCATAAGAATTCAAGTAGATAGTCGTGGTTGAAGAACGAAAGACAGAAAGCAAGGTAAAGATGGGAAAATGAATGAAAAGAAAGAAAGAAAGAAAGAAAGAAAGAAAGAAAGAAAGAAAGAAAGAAAGAAAGGAGACAGGAATTTAAAAAAAAAGAGAAAAATAACGTGATAGGAAACAGAGGAAAACAACAAAATGATTTCTTTTCCCTTTTTATCCTTTGCTTACTTTTCTTCAT